GTCTTTTCCACCTACATTTGTTGGTTCAGTGGTGGCCTTCTACATAATCCAGAAGGTTGGGGTACTCTATTTGGGTTATTCCCAGAAGAAGCATTATTTCTAGTAGTTCCTTGTCTACAATTTCTTCTCAGATGTCCTATTCTACCACAATTAAAACATTTAATATTTTGATGCCTCCTCATACCTTTGGAGATCGATTCTTCTACCCAAGCCACAGAGTTAAGTCAAAAGACTTAACATTGGCTGTGTGCTGGATCCATTCATCCATTGGTGTTGATTTGGCCCAAGCACCTTTTTGCATTCTAAATTAGCATTTTGAAAGCTAAAGGGTCAATGAATACTCCTCCTAGCTTCTGAATCTGCTGTCCCTATTTGTACAGCTTTAGTCAATCTTTGCAAAACGTTACTAAAGGGCCTTGTATGACCTTAGTATATGTCTAAATTCTCTTCCCTGGTTTTGAATCTTGTCCCAAGCATTCAAGGTTGCTGTACAGCATAAGGACAAGATGTGTTCATCGTTTGTAGCTTGAGTATCTGCATCAGCATAATGGCCCTCATGAAGAATTTGATCTTGAGAAGCCTCATATCCTTTGATTCTGCCTTGATGTTGAAGGTCCTTATCTTATTCCTGACAATATGATTTCCACTGCAGTTGTGGATCAAGTTCTAGAACAACTGAGACTAATTGAAACCAGTCATTTGGAGTTATTCTATTTCTTGTAGCCCACACCTTTACTAACTGCCTCACTTATGATGAATGCATGTCATAACAATCTACTGCTGCTGGCTGGAGAGAGGCTCAGTGGTTAAGAGCACTGCCTGCTCTTCCAAAGGTTCTGAGTTTAATTCCCAGCAACCATATGGTGGCTCATAACCATCTGTAATGAGATCTGGTGCCCTCTTCTGGCCTGCAGACATACATGCAGGCAGAACATTGCATACAATAATAAACAAATCTTTTAAAAAATATTTTAAAAAAGAGGATGTCCTGTATCTTAAAAAAAAAAAAAAAAAAACCCTACTGCTACTTTAATACCTTTTAATCTTTCAGATATATAGGCTCCCATTTGCATACTGTATATCATCTTGAGTGTTCGTTATTTGCTGGCTTTTGGGTAATAGTAACAGGATAAACCATAGTTGGTGGTGATGACTTAATTGACTCTGAAAGATACTGGCAATGCTAAGTTTGTTTTTATTTTCTTTAGTTTGTACCTTAACTCCTGGTGTATCGGTTTGTTTGGGGTTTTTCTGCAGGGGAGGGGAGTTGGGGTTTTTTTGCTTTTTTGTTTTCAAGATAGGGTTTCTCTATGTAACAGTCCTGGCTGTCCTAGAACTCACTTTGTAGACCAGGGTGGCCTTAAACTCACTGAGATCCACTTGCCTCTGCCTCCCAAGTGCTGGCATGAAACACCACCATCTGAACCTGATACATCAATTTTAAGAAGGTTTTCTATGCACCATCTGAACTGTTAAAAATTCCAATGATTTCATTAAATCAGTCAGTTTCTTGTTCTCATTATTTACATATTATTCCAAAGATTTAATAGTCTCACCCTTAGAGATTACTTGTATGGCATGCAGATTGCCTTCCAAAAGCAATTTTCTATCTGCGTGGAATGATTAGGGTTCATTACCAGCTGGGCATTGGTGGCGCATGCCTTTAATCCCAGTACTTGGGAGGCAGAGGCAGGTGGATCTGTGAGTTCGAGAACAATCTGGTCTACAAGAGCTAGTTCCAGGACAGCCTCCAAAGCCATAGAGAAACCTGTCTCAAAACAAAACAAAACAAAACAAAAACCCAACAACAAAAAAGTCCATTACCATGTTCCATTCTGTGAATTATTTGTCAAATTATCCTTTTTGCTAAGTTGTCATTACCAGTCTGTAGTCTATATAATTTCTATAAGTTCCTAGTTCTTAGCTCTATTATCAAACCATTTATTTAAGGATATATATTATATATACATATAATATATATATTTAAGGATATATATATAATATATATATATTACCAAGCTAATAACAATTATGGCTAAGAGTGTATATGTCCCAAATAGGTCATATACCTCTTTTAAAATTCCTTCCAATACAGAAGCAAAAATATGGTAATATCTGCCATTGTTGTAGCAGAAGTTAACAAATTGTAAGAAAAAATTGTTAATTTATTTATTAGCTTAAAATGCAAAAATATCCAGTAATTTACCTCAAATTCAATTCTTAGAAAAGTTGTTCATGCCTCTTACAGTCATAACTTTAAGTTGCAATGATGATGTTTGGCCAGCAGGTGTCGTAGGTGTACCTCCAAAGCAAGTCCGAGGACACTGAAACTGTGATCTGACTTGTTCCAAAATTGTCCAACCTTTGGGTTCTAAATAAAAACTCAAACAACTCACACCTAACAGATTTTTGTTAAAGAGAAGTGGGGGGGGGGGGGGAGAAGCAACCTGTGATCAGAATGCAGCAGGCTGGAACCATGAGCAGCAGGTATGCATCAAATTGGATGTGCTGGCTCTGAAGGTCTGGGGTGTGTCCCTTAGTCTAAATTAAAGCTGTATAAAACCACCCAATTCAAAGCAAAAGGTTCTAGGGATAGTATAACCCAATGGCACTGGGTGGAGGGGAGTTCCAGGGAGTCAAGCTTGGCCCGCTGGACTGAGCGAGCCCATAGCAGCTGGCGGCTTTTTCAGGGCCGGCCTGCGACCCTGGTGGGGCAGTTTGCCTGTTCTGGGGTAAATGTTCTGGCCACATTGGGCAACACAACGTAAATGGAGATCTTAATTGGTTTAGATAATTAAAAACCCAGAGTCAGATATAGAGGGAAATGTTGATCAGAGAGAATAAGGAGCAAGCCACCAACATACCTCACCTCCTAAGCGACTCAGCATGCAAGAGCAAGTTCCTGTTTCTCCCTGCTTACACCCTGTTTCCACGCAGGTATCTCACTTCCTGTCTGTACAGACCTCCAGACCTCTATAGCCAGCGGTAAACTCCATTCTCTGACCTTCAGACAGGCTTTAGTTTTACAAGCAATATATCACCGCACACAACCCTTTTTTGTATCCTTGACTAAAGCCTCAAGGCTAAAGCTGACAAGTTTTGTTACTTGTCAGGGCTGGAACATGCTGCCTTACTCAATTACATCTTCACCAGCATTCTGGCTTTGATGGTTTCCTTCACTGCCTAAGCTTGGCTGTCCTTTTATTATATTTAACATCAGGCTTTATTCCATTTAATATCACAATTAAGTCATGTGTTCAAGAAGATAAACAGATCAAGAAATGAGCTGGGGGGGGGGTAGGCACACACCGTTAGGCCCAGCACTAGCAGAAGCAAGTAGATCTCTGACCAGCCTGGTCTACAGAGAAAGTTCCAAAACAGCCACATAGAAACTGTGGCTCAAAATAAGAATTTTTTAAAATAAAATGTGGGTACCCATAAGATGGCTACACTGCATCTTGGCACAAGGACAGAGTTCAAAGCAGTCAACAAGTCACAAGACCTAAAGGTCAGAGGTGTGGTGGCTACAGTAGGATGTTTGGTTGTCTTAGTCTAAATAACAACAGACCTAAATCTGAGGTGTGGCTACTCCTGACTCTCAACGCTAGGGAAGAAGTTGGATCTGAGGTGTGGCTACTCCTCACCTCAAGGCTAGGGAACAAGAAGTTGGAGCTAATGTGTGGTTACTGAACGCTTAAAATAAGTGAGAAAGTCTGTTCGTTCCCTATACATGATACTGTGTTCCCCTTTTTGGTTAAGGTATATAAGAATGGTGAAAAATAATTTCGTGGCATTTCAGTTTTGACTGATCTGGCCTCCTGACCTGTATTCTGTCTCTGTCTTTTCTTCATCATCTATAGCTAGCCTTTCCCTTATGCACATTCCCCCACTCAGGTATTGACTTGAGGCTGCTAGGCTGGATCCAATTGCAGCCCCAAGTCAATACTTGGATTGCAGTTAAGAGATTGCATGAATCTGAGAAGACTTCAAACTTTAGACTTTTGGAAATTGTTGAGACTGTGGTGGATTGTAGGGACTTTTGAAGGTGGCCTAAATGTGTTTGGCATTGTTATGGCTACAAGCCTACAGGGGCCAGGGAGTGGAATATGATGGTTTGAACAGAAATGGCCGCCATATGGTTGGCCCATAGGGGATGCTGGAGTAGGTGTGGCTTTGTTGGAGGTGTGGCTGTGGAGGTGGGCTTTGAGGTCACATGTATGCTCAAGTCATGCTCAGTGTAAACTTACTTCCTGTGGGTCAAGATGTAGAACTCTCAGCTCTTTCTCCAGTACCATGGCTGTCTACACAGTGACATGTCCCATCATGGTAATGGATGAAATCTCTGAACTGTAAGGCCCCACCTCAATTAAACATTTTCTAAGTTGCTATGATAGTGGTGTCTCTTCACAGCAATAGAAACCCTAAGGCAAATTTACTGTGAAGAAAATCTGACTTCATATAAATGTACCTTTTCTTTTGATCAAGACGGTATCTTGCTATCTAGTCCAAACTATTTTTGAATCAGCAGCAATCTTTTCCATTCAGTGTTTTTTTCTTTCATGGAAAAAAGTGCAAAAGCATTTTCAAATAATCATGTGTATTCCTTGATATTGTATAGAAAGCTGGTAAGTGGGCGTTCCCTACAAGATTTAGTGGCAATATGGAAGCTGAATGTACAAGGAACTCTTTGCATAACAATGTATTTTCAATGTTTATATATACAACAGTAGGGCTTTAAAAAGAAACAGGGGTGTAGTTAAGTGGCAGAGCACTTAACGGTGCACGAGGTCTAGAATTCCATTTCCATCACTGAAAGAGGGAAGAACTTTCTAAAAATAACCAATGCTTTCCTAGAAGTAAACATTCTGTGTCCTCTATAGCAAAGGCTGCCTTAGCTTCCCTGAGGGTTGTGCCACCATGCCCAACTTATCTAAATGTGTCTATTAGTGAGGGTAAGAAAACAAAGAGAAATGGAACCATGAAGACTTTGACTGTAGTTCTTTTAAAAATAAATGTTTATTTCAAGTATGAAAAGTAATGTCAAGACATCTTCCAAAAACTCCATTCAGTTTAACAAAAGTATAAAACAAGACTTCTGAAAAAAACCTATACAATAAAGTACAAAATACTTAGGAATATAATTTGACATCCACAGTGGACATTTTCTGAAAAATAAGTTTTGCTAATGTGCTTAGAAATAAAAATATATTTACAGCCCCAGACAAAACAAGTCCCCAGTTGCCCCAGACAAAACAAGTCCCCAGTTGATGAATAGTTAGTTACATCAGGATGACAGCATTTCGGAATAAGATTTGTGTAGGTCAACTTCCTGTTCTTTTTGGTTGTTTTGTTTTGGAGAGGTTCTCATGTAGCCTAAACTGGCCTTAATGCTGCTGAAGCCATTACTGATCCTCTTGTCTCCATCTGTCGAATGGCTAGGATCATAGCTTTGCACCACTATGTCAGCAAGACTTAAAACAGTAAACATGGTTTTAACAATGTAGAAGGTCACACATTGTGTAGTTTCCAGACAAATGCAATCTATTTCTTTGCCTGCTCATCAGCAGCTAATCCAACATTTCAGTTACCACAGTATCTATGAAAAACACAAGCTGTAACTAAACACCTTGGCTGAGAATTCCAAATGTGAAAGTCCTGAGTTATTTCCAGCAAGGGAGCCTGAAAAGAAAGTTAGGGATTTCCTGGCGGTAGAAGCACAGCTACCATATACTGTGACTACTTCACTGGACTGCTCCCAAGGCTTCTGCTTCTCTTCTCCAGGTACATTTTTTTATAGGTCCGGAACATGACATTTGAGTCTTTTACTGGATTTTGTAGCATTTCAAATTCATCTGCACTGAAGCTTCTCTTAGCAAGTCTTGAATCAGTCCGATCTGAGAAAATAAAACTGATACTTAATGTTCCATATGACAAACACAATGGAAAATAAGATGGAAAATGTACAGTTATCTGTGGGGGCAGAAAAATGAGCTAGATAGCTGAAATGACAGCAAATGCCTATAATCACAGATTCTCAAGGCTGAGGCAGGAGGATCTTCAGCTCAAGGCTATCTGAGTTTCACAGCAAGAACTTGCCTCAAAAACCAAAGGAAGAAGTGGGGATGATTTAGTGGTGGCTGCTTTTAGCTCCAACACTTGGGAGGCATAGGCAGGTAGACCTCTGAGAAGAGGCCAGCTTCTGCAAAGAGAGTTCCAGCCCAATCAAGGCAACATATAATGAAAACTTGTCTGGGGAGGGGTGGGGGCAAGAGTTAGACAAGTTTGATTCCCCGCACCTGCATGGTTAGGGTTTACAACTGCATATATAAACGAAGGGGATCCAATGTCCTTTTCTGGACTCTGAGGGCACTGCACCCACATGCACATAATACCCTCCCCCCACAAAACAAAACAAAAAACAGAATGGAGAAAATACAGAAAGGTATCCAGATACATGATGCAATCCCACTAAGAAGGTGGAGATAGGGTGACCAAGGTCAGTATCAACAAACTACACACAAGGTTCAAGGCCAGAATGGGCAATATTAAAGGCCAGAATGGACAATATTAAGATACCACCTTAAGAGAAGGAAGGATAGGAGGGGCAAAGGGAGGGAGGGACAAATGGAGGGAGAGAGGGAGGGAGGGAGGGAGGGAGAGAGGGAGGGACGGAGAGAGGAAGGAACTTGGTCAGTTCCAAACAATGAATGGAAAATGGGTAACTTTATTATTCTACTATGGCCATGATAGACTCACAGCCTCAGAAAACCCTGTGCCTTCCCTTTTCATTTACCCCTTTAGTTCAATGTTTCATGGGCCTTGTTTCCCCTGATTCTAGGCATTTAGAGCTGCTCTCTCAGTTCAGGGTCCCTTCCCCTCTTCACTATACCTAACACTTTTCATCCTGCTTTAACTATTCCTCTAATGGGCTGGTACTGAGTGTCAAATACAGAGCCTCATGAATGCAAGGCAAGCATTCAACCTATTGAGCTATCTATCCCCAGCCCAATTTTTTGTACCTTCTTTGAGACAGTACTTTGTTTTGTAACCCAGGCTGGTCTCCAGTTCTCTATAATCGTCCTGCCTCATGCCCTCAAGTACTGGGGCTATACAGAGAAAACTTTTTTTTTTTTTTTTTTTTTTTGTCCAAGGTTTCTCTGTGTTAACAACTCTGGCTGTCATGGAACTCAATGTGTAGAACAAGCAGGCTTTGAACTCACAGGGCTCCACCTGCCTCTGTTTTCCATGTACTGGGATTAAAAATGTGTGTCACCACCACTTAGCTATCTTTGCAGATCTAAGCAAAACTAAGACATAACTCCTCAGCTCTACTCTCTGAAATATATTTATTCCATTGTAAATGAAACAGATAATGAGGATCCAGATAATAAGTTCTTGCCTTCCACATGTGCAGAGCCCTGGATTCTGCTCTTAGCAGCACATAAACCTTCAGCATGTGAGAGGATCAGAAGTTCATGGTGAGTACTAGTCTTTTGTCCTTTAAAATATTTGCTCCACTATTCTCAATGAGCTTTGAAGAGAGAGGGACCGGGTTCAAGTCCCTAATCTAGCAATGTAGTAAGCCACATGACAAATGGGAATGTCCTTGACTACCTTGCTTAGGGAACTGAATAAATGAGCCTGCAAATCACCAAATGGAAGTTGGCAGACATTACTGGAGGCCAATCCAGTCTGCCACAGATCTTAGTTAAGAGTTTAATGGAAATCACACAATATTCTTATTTATATATCATTTGATATAATGTCAAAATTGAGGTCAGCTCAGAACCAGAAAATTCAATACCTTATGTTCTAACCCTACGCAGGTCAATAATACAAATAGTATCATTTTTCTGTTAAAGGGAACTAGATCCTGGTCTCCCACTCCATCCTGACAGAGAAAACAGAACTCTTTCTTACCTTCAGAAACAAACACCAAGTGACTAAAAAAGAATACAAATAAAATCATGCATTGTGATAATACTATAATTATAATATCAATGTTACAGATAAACTGGTAAATCAAAAACAAAACAAAAGGAAACAGATGGTGTTTTACCTATTTCTTCACTTGATTCGGGCATCTTTGTCCTTGTAGGGATACATTTTAACCAATCTTCTTTTGTAGTTTTTATTCCTGAAACTGTTTAAATACTTGTTTTCAGAAATATAATCTTTACTCCTCTATTTTAGCATAATGAAAAAAAATCCACCTAAGTCTTTATAATACATCACAGGGTTATCTTATGATATATTATACCTAAATACCATATGAAACATAGCATTTTAAAGGCTGGTGCAGCGCGTTTACTATGTAAACCAAGCTAGTCTCAAATTCAGAGATCCACCTGACTCTGCCTTCCAGTGTTGAAATTAAAGGTGTGTGACATCATGTTTTGAAGTCAGCCATTTTAAACAAAATTATTTTTGTGTTCTGTACCTATCACCATACACACACACACACATTGTTTATACTATTGCTTCATCACACCAACAGGTACAATCATCGGGAGAAAATCAACAACAACAACAACAAAAAAAAAATCACAGACAAAACTAAAAAAACATTAACTAAAATCCTATACTTTTCGAACACAATGTGTTAGCTGTAATATCCACAATTTCAAAACCTCCTATGATCACAACTATTCATTCATTTTCTCCCTGTAATTCTTTACTTCATGGAAGTGACTCATGATTTCTATTCTGTTTTTTTAGTTTTTGAGATGACGCCTTATAGCTAAGGCTGGCCTAAAACTCTTTGGATTCTTCTGCCTCCAGCATTCCACATGCATCACTCTGCCAATCACCATTTAGACTTTGTGCCTAACTTGAGATTAATTTGTTTCAAACAACTACAGCTTCTACAGGTCTTTTAACTTATAAATAGACTAGATATTACCATTTTAGCTTTGGGGATAACATCTTCATCTTTCATTTCAAAGATGGCAACAAGCTGACCCCCTATTAACAAGGTATATTACATCCCAGTATTTAGAACAAAGTTTCACATACACACTGCTTTGAAATTACCGTTACAAAAAGAAACTAAAACCAAGACACTGGCTGTGGCTGCAGTTCAGTGGTATAGTACTAGTGGTTTGACCACGAATACCACAAATCCAAATCTCCTTGAAGCAAAAGTACACGTGATACTTTTAGAACTGCTTTTCACAGGGCAGGTTCTTAGGGACTTAATAAAATATCCGTGTTCAGGAAATGTTTGAAAAATTTGCCAGTGCTAATCTACTAGAATTTAAAATAAGGAGCAACAAACACACAACAAATGCTGGTCAATGAACACGGACTCACTGTCACCCCGACTCTAGCCCATCCCACTCACCCACTCCTAGGACTACACCTCTACTGTGCCTCACACAAAAGCATTCATTGGGCCCTGTGGTTTCTACCTGTATATTTCTACCACATGGGAGACAAGAGGATCAGAGTTAAAAGGCCAACCTTGATGATACAGCAATTTAACACCAGCCTGAACTGTGTGAAACTGTCTCCTCCAACCCCACCCCCGTCCCCCCAAAAAAGAAAATTATACTGAACCTCGCACAGATGCTTGCTCCTTCTCAGGACCAGGCCTTGGATCATCCTGTTTGTCAATGGAGCATGTATTCTTCAGTAACACATCTGGACATAACTTAAACTCCAACATGGGCTTGTCTGTATCATCGTTTGTCACTGTACATGCCCTATTCTTCTCTTTCTCTTTCCTAAGCTTCTTGGATGCACTGTCCAATTTGGTGAGACAAATGCTTTCCCGCTCTGTACATTTGAATGCAACTCGATTCAGGTACTGTTTCCTTCGTTCCTTTACTTGGGGAGATATCTGGCTGGACTTATTACTCATACTGGTCAATCTTTCCAATTTGGTTTTATCAATACAGGCTATGTCCGGCTGCTTCCCATCAAATCTTCCTTTACTATTATTTCTTGACATACTGTATGTCTTAGCCTCCTCAGAATGATGGGTCTTGAGATTTTGGCCATGGCTGGTGGAATTATGTTCTGTTTCTTTTTTAGTCTCTGCACTGACACTCTGTGATACAGAATTCTTACTGAACTTCATGTGTTCTGAGTCACAAGGCACATTTTCTACACCTATGTTTTTGGAGGCATCATTCCCATGTACAAGCCTGTCTTTTTGCCGCTGTAAATATTCCTGCACAGTTATAACTCTATTACTCTTAGAGGAGCTTCCCTTTGAGTCTGAGGGCTCAGAATTTGTCACCTTTTCTTTAGCACAGGCTCTTTCATTTGGTTCTGTCAGAGTGCTGTACAATTTTAGTGTGCCTCCAGCATTTTTGTTCTGCTCTTGTTTTTCATATTTCTTCTTTTTTATTTCCACATCTGAGATAAGCACATGGTCAGTTTTCCTTTTTTCAAAATATTTCAGTTTGGAGCTACCTGCTTTGAACTTAAATATTTTCTTTTCTGGTGACACTGACTGTACCAAATTTTTTTTCCTCCTGCATGGATCTTTATTTGGCAGAAGTCCTGCATGTGCTTTTACCGGATCTGAGTCTTGAAATGTGTGTTTCTTCTGAAGGCTCTTCTGAGAATCTTGTTTAGAAAATGCTGGCATATTTTTATCAGAGTTGGAAGTTACCACATGAAATGCTTCAGGGGTTGGTTTTTTATTACTTTTGAAGGGATCTGGTTTGTCACACTTAGAAGAAAGACTTGCTTTTTGCTCTATTTTCAGTGAGCTATTCTGTTTCGTTTCGGATTTATCTTTATCTTTCTGGTGACATCTCATTGAAAAATTACCAGTTAATTCCTGTTCCACCCTTGATGAGCTGCTGTCTTTTGTTTCAGATGTTTTTATCTTTTCAACATGTTTATCAGAAAAATGGCCTTCCTCAGCTTCTTGGGTCAGAGGACTTTTTGGGTTACCAGAAATAGGATTAATTTCAAAAATAGTGATCCCACTGTTACAGGCCTGCTCTCCTTGTTTGCAATTGGTGACCTCCAAAGAACACAGGTTTTTCTCTGCCGTGGTGCTGCACTGACACTGTGGCACACCTTCATAAACCATTGAGAGCCAGCCCAAGGCACAGCAATGGATTTTGTCTTTCTCTAGATCCAACATTCCAGGGTTGTGACTTTCTTCTCTGGGGACCTGTGAACCACACAGGCTCTTTATTTCTGCACTGTCTTTTGTGTTCTTGAGTTCTGCCAATCTGTCTAAGTCACGTAGCTGATCCTCTTCAGGAAATAATTCTTTGATTTGTTCTGAGTTTAATACTGTAATTTTTATTTGGTCTGCGTTTTCCCCAGATACATTACCAGTTTTACTACCAGTTTGATTTTCTACGATTTCATGTGTCTTTTGTTGTCTCACATAAACTTCAGGCCTGGCAATAGTCTCAATGCCATAAGGGAACTCTTTTAGAAGTTCTGACAGCTGGTCATGTAGGTATGAGACAGGTTCACTTTCATCATTAATCTCATTTACTACAGGAAGACTGTCTCCTGACTTACTGATGGCCATACCAGTTTCCTGAGGTTGAGGATCTTGCTGAACAACAGCAGGTGAACACATGTTCTTAGTTGTCTCTTTTTCACCAGTATTTTCCTTACTGCTTTCCTCTAGGGTTTCTCTGTTTGCTTTAACATACTCACTAGATGCTGCCTCTGAAGGCTGTAGTGGCTCCGGCTGCTCAGTGACTTCATGAGGAACATCTGTACATGGCATACATTTATCTTCCTGGAAACTACAGTCTTTATTTTCAGCAATGTCATCTACTTGTTCTTCTTGTTGACTATTAATTGCCTGCTGATTAGGTGAAAGTTTCAGGTGCTCATTTTGTACAGAGTTGAATATCTCTGCTATCTGGGAATTGTAAGATGCATCTCCTTCTGCAAGAGAACAGATACTTTCAATCTGTAACATAGGCCCACTCACAGTGTTGCTGTCCTTAGGGTTAGGCAAAGCGTCAGCGCCCAGGGGAGAGTGTTTCCCTAGGCCACTATCAACTACGGCTAGATCACTCTGTGTTGGTTTGTGCTGCTTTACCTCATGCACAGGCAGGGACAGCTCAGTGGATTCAGGATTACTTGCTACTGCTCCTGTAATATCACAGGGCAAAGCAGCAGTTACTGTTGAATTTTCTTCCTGCTGGTTTTGTAAGCTACAAACACTGCCTTCCTTAACAACTGGGTACACAGTTTCAGGTACAACTTCAGGTGCCACCTCTTTCCCAGGTATGGTATTGATATCTGAAAGAATTAAAGGTGAAACCACAGCAATCTGAAGCTCTGTTCCTTTTCCAACAGCTACATCTGAAGACTCGTAAATCGGTGTGAGAACTGACAGGACTGTTTGTGATGACGTGGTCATTTTCTGAGGATTTCTAACACCTGAACAAAAATTCTTCACGTGAACTTCATTCGTGGGATTTGAACATCCAATTGCTGTTGTACTGGTTCTCGATACACTATATTGTTTTTCTTCTAAAGGCTTTGGAACATTTTCTTCTGTGGTTTTTGGAGGTTGGTTTTTCCAAAGAGAAAGACATGTTGCTAGCAATTCCATGGAACACCTACTGTCCCTTTTAGCAGACATTTCTTTTGCTGAAAATTCAGAATGCCGAGTTGGTTCAGTATAAGTATTAGCTGTTTTACTGCAACCATTTGCCATCAAAATATCTTTATTGATTTTAATTTTTCTTGCAAGTTCTGAAAACTTCTTTTTAATTTCTACTAGTGATTTAATATCCCTCACCAGCTTTTCTTTTGTGACATTTGTGTCTATTATTTGATTTGTACTTGGATTGCAGGAATACTTTCTTTCTTCTTGATTATTTTGAACAAGAGTCTGAACACCATCCCCAGAAGAGCCAGCAGAGTCATTGTAAGACTGTTTTGTATTTATTTTCAACTCACAGAATTTTCCAATTGTATTGAAATTTCTACTAGTGTTCTGCCACTGCTGTTCAAACACTTTGTAAGCATCTTTCTTTTTCTCAGATGAGTGCATTTCTGTACTCTGAGGAACTTCCACAGGCAAGTGTCTAGAAACAGACTGAGAATTTTGCACATTTTGGCTTCCATATCTACAGCTGTAAGGAGAGGCAGGGAGTCTTTTGTTGGTTTCTGCAGCACACTGATATGACGACACAGGTACAGGATGCTTTGATGGTAAGGTCTGTGTAGAAGGTGGAAGCTGATGATTTTTAACTTGTAATGATGTAGATGATACAAAGTTTTGTTTCTGAACTGAAGTGTCTTGCACAAAGCTTTGTGGTAAATAAGGATATTGCTTTGGAGGTGGCCTGTAATCTGGATAAGTAAGTTCATTGGATGAGCATTGTGTCCAGCCAACAAGCTCATCTGGTATTGAGTGGTTAAGTCCCTGATTTCCTTGGTAAGTTACAGGAACTCTTACAGAATTTGAAGGAGTCGTTTGTAGTTGCACAGAATAGGTATCTGATGTGATAAGCTGACTCTGTGGTACATGTATATAAGGCATATTAGTACCTCCATCAGGTTTATGAGATACAGTTGCCTCTGTATGAGAAGGCATAAAATTCCTCATTGTTGAATTCATCCAGGCATTTTGCATAACTCCTGAAGACACTGTTTGCAAACTGTAGTTTGGTTGTTGGGCTCCTTTAACATTTGTATATGTGACTCTTTCTACTGAAGTCTGTGAGGCCACAACTGTCCTATTATGCATATTAGAAACAGAGATCTGAGGAGTTATGTAACTCCTGACATTCACAAGTGGCTGTGAAACTGAATTTGAATTAGTGGGATACAGGCATGCTTCCTGGTTATGTGGGAGACAGCTGAAAGAACTTTGAGAACTTGTGGAAGGCATTAAAAACTGCTGTAAAAGAGATGACTGGCCTTTAGGATATGGTGGTGGTTTGGGGGCAGCATTCTCTGGTTTTCCATTCCAATTCATATTTGATCTGGTTTAGTAGTAGTGTTGTATATATCTGTGGTTTTTAATGTCACAAATCTGCAAGAAATACAAATAAAGATCTTTTATTAAAAAATTTCCCCCCATCCCCATGACTTTTTTTTTTTTTTTTTTTTTTGGAGACAGTCTTTCTAGCCTAGAACTAGACCAGATTGACTTCAAATCTGTGGTTATCACTTTGCTTAGACAGACTTTCGAAGAACAATAGAAGCAAATTATGTCTATGGTAACTAATAAGCTGTACCTAGATAGAAGTAATGGAAGCTATACCAAGAATTGAGCCAATTGTCAAGATCAATGAAATGTGTAAAGATTCACTCCACACCAAGCAGCTGTCACCTGTTAAAGCGGCACTTTACTGCTTTTACTTGAGGTGAAGGTGATGGACTTAAAGAGAAGTATGCTAAGCATTCACTCTACCCCTTAACTCTGTGTGTGTGTAATCTCCATGGCCTGTTACTCCTAATTTTAATACTTTATTCTTACTGTACACTCCCAACTTATAATTCTATTGGTATATACAATATTATCTTGTTTTTTTTTTCATAAAATTTCTAAGCATAAACACTATAGGGTTTTGCTCTGTGCTCAACTACTCAAGAGGCTAAACAGTATTGTGACAATATCTAGAAAATAGAGACCCTATCTGAAGAATGAAACAAAATCTAAAACATCTTTTGAGACAAACACAATCTACTGTTTGTCTGTTTTTCCTTATCATACATAGACGGGTTATTGCATTTCACTAAAAATGGTCTATCTGCATAGCATTTAACTTTATGGCTATATCACTTGTGACATTCTAATAAATTTATCTGAGTTAGGCCTGGCTGTGCATGTCTATAATCCCAGCACTTAAACAGCGGAAGCAGGAAGACATCAAGTCCAAGACCTAGTTAGGCTATAGAGTAAGTTCAAAGCCTACCTAGGCTGCAGTTTAGTGAAGCCTATCTCAAAATACAAAGTTAAAACTATGAGGATCCAGAGGGTCTACAGTTCCTTTCTCAAGCACAAATCCTGACTGAGCATGCTACATGAATTCAGAAAAGCTACAGGCATAAGATAATATCTAAGTCTAAGGAAAAATGTCTCCAGTACACATTAACAGAGAAGTATGGAAGAGGAACTCAGGGAATGGGACAAGGTAGACTTGCATTCAATTCTATCTTTAGTAGATACCTAAAGCTGTGGAAAAACAAAACTTACTCATTCTTGAAAAGTGAAGCCAGACTCATAGTCCTATGTCTCTGTCTACCACACCATTGCCCTCCTTTCCAGGACCCTGTGTTGTCTATGGCTGTGCTAGCCTAGCCATAAGAACAAAAAAGAAAAAAATAGTATTTGACCTTTGTGCCTGGTAGAAAATAAATAAATAAATTACAAAGTCACTTGCAGTTTCTTGAGTGACAGAAGTACCTTCTTTTACTTTCTTTTTGTTCACATCTGAGTATATACTAAGAGGAAGAACTCAGTGCCATCTCAGGAAACACTCAATGCCAATGGCACACAATTTTCAACACCACCTATAGCTTTAGACACCATGGACAACCAGAGTTTAACACTGCAAGAAACAGTACTGAGATTTGATACAAGTGCTCAGAGGGTAGTACACTGCCTAGAAATGGAAACCCCACCCAACCCTTAAAAAAAGCTGGCTATATCCACCGCATCCTTTTTTGGATTTTAATGAGAAGGGATTGTTACAAGATACCCCTTAAATTTGCCATTAGTCACCAGAAGTGTAGGACTCTGGAATGGGAACTGGGACAGTCTTGTGGAACTCAGCCCTTCAACTAGTAGAATGGGAGAGCAGGATAGCCAGAAGGCACAAAATTAGAGAATAAGTTGGCAGGGGGACAATTCCCTGCTGTCACAAGTGTTGTGTAAATGTAAAAATACAGCATTAAAATCAGGTGGGTTATGGGAGAAGACATACTAGAGTTGGTGGCACACCAAAATATCTTGCAAGGAATAGGCCATGGAGACAAACTTTGAGAGAAGTTTAATTCTGGACCTCCAGGCTATAAAGATGAGAACACTGGCTGAGCACGTCACTATGTCATCCAGTATAGTAAAAAATGTATCACTGCTTTCCTACTACCCCAGTTCTGGACAGAGGTCCCCAAATACCCAGAGACTTGAGACAGGGTCTCACTATATACTCTTATCTAACCTTAAACTAGCAGTGATCCTCTTGCCTCTCTACTTCTCAAGGGTTATAATTCAACCATAACCAACTAAAAACATAGCTATATATGTTGATAACCCCATATTTGAGGTTGGAGAATGGAGACCACTGGGCCTAGGAATTCTATGGCCAGCTAACCTATCTGAAATGGTCATGCCCTTGTTCCATCCCCAGGACCACATAACAAGCCAGTAATCTCTGCAGAAGGATCAGATGCTCGAGGCTTTCCTTCCCTCCTCTTATGTTTTTGGTTGTGAGCCTAACCTTTAACGGCCCTCCTTCCCTCCTTATTATCAAGTTGGAGGCCAGCCTTGGAAACATTAAGCTCCTATCTACAAAACAAAAATAAAAACAAAACACTTATAACCAGGTATGATAGTTTGCACTTGGGAATTGAAAGGCTGAGGTAAGAGGACCACTCAAAACTCAAGGATGAGACCACTCTGGGCAACAAAGTGAGACAGTCTCTCAAATAAAACAAAACTTAGAACCTTTAAGTAGACAAAGTCTACCATTTATTTTTCCAAGGCGTTGACTCTTACATGGCATTAGTCTGTTGGTAGTAATTTCCTATGAGAAATCTGAGAAGATGCTTAGGGGGTGGGGGGTGGGGGTTATAAATAGCAAGCTGAGTTAAAGGAGGCTGAAGAGAGAATGAAGTGAACAGGAAAGGATTTTTCACTTGAAATTTTTATGAAGATCTTACTACGCTGTTTCAACAATCAACTCGATACAAGCTAGAATCCATTACTTGAGAAGAGAGAAATAAGGGATCTCTAGATCAAACTGACCTATGGGGATGTCCCTGGGGGACTATCTTGATTATGTTGAGTCTGAGTTCCATACTGCCTAAGAAAGCAACTGAGCACAGGCACACACGTACTCATTCTCTGCTCCTGACTGGGTAGGATCAGCTGCTTCAAATTCCTGCTTCAGCTTCTCTACAGTAACAGACTGTAATCTGGAAGTGAGCCTTATAAACTCTCGCTTCCTTAAAGCTCCTTGTGTTGAGCTGTTTTATTTATTGTGGGGACTTGATAGTTAGCGCTATGGCACTGTTTTTGCCTGCACAGAAATGAACTGCTCCATCCAAGTCACTAGAGTGCTCAGACTCGAGTGATAATTTACACAGGTTCCCTGTGGTGATTAAAGAAATTTAATATGGAGCCAGGAATCATCCCGTAACGGCTGTTGACCTTTTGCTCTGGAATAAATGGGAGATCCTAGTCTCCTGCAGGTGAGATAAGAATAAAATAATGAGCTGTTAGGTATTAACCACTGCCTTTACTTCTGTAAAACTTGAAATTGCAATGGGAAAGGGATAAAATGGTCTTTTTTATTACTATATAGCGGGAAAGTAAGAACAACTGAGAGACATAAAATAGTTTTCCTGCCCAGCTGTGGATTCCACTGGTAGCTATGAATCATACCTTTCCCATGCTTGCCTTTAAAAATCCCACTTCACCCCACCTCCAAATAGCTTGCTGTGTTGGTTCTAAGGCTGCCATCCATCTGCCAGCACTAAGAATAAATTCATTTAATCTAAATTTGGATCGAATCTAAGTATTTGGTCCTTCCAGTAGATTTGATCACCATAACATTATCACAGCAATAGAAAGAAAACTAGGGCAGGTACTATTAATAGTCAAACGAAAGGCACAGAAGTTCTAACTTGGGAAGCCCAAACTATACATGAGCCACTGTCCAGAAGACATCAATGTTTACTGAGTGAATATTATCAGAAATCTCTGAACACCAAGAAAAACCATTTTTAAAAGGATAATAAATTTAGTCAACATTTTATGTGACAGAAGAAACCAGAAATGAAGATTCAGAGAAAGTATCCCTTTTATGCTTAGATTTAAAGAATGAACAGTTATTTAGACACGTGCTAGAAAGAGCTGGAGAGATAGTTCAGCAGTTAAAGAGCATTATGTGATCTTCCAGAAGACCCAAGTTCAAATTCCCAGCACCCATACGGTGGCTCACAACCATCTGTACCTCCAGTCCTGATGCACTCTTCCAGCACCTAAGGCTACTAGGTATACACATGGTGCAGACATACATGTGAACAAAACACTCAAATGCATAAGAGTAAATTAATTTAATTTAAAAAATAAGGTAAAAAAGGTAATGCCCAATGGACTTACGAAAAACTCAGCCAAGTCAGTCCAGCTAACTTCTACTTGGCCTCCTATGGCATTCTTTCCTATTGGGTTTGGGGTAGGAACCCCTGAATGAAGACTGATATTCTATTGTCCTATTAGGTCAGAGAAACTCCTTGCAAACTCCTTACAAAGAAGATAGAATGGGATTTCCAGGTTCTGTGACTGGCTTCATGGAAGAGGGGTTTAGAGACAGGAAGATAACAGTGGATAGAGATCCATCAGGTCTTTGTCTCTTTTTGTCCAATGGATTCAGCAGGCCAATGAGCTTTGGGTCCTGAGTCACCAGGAATATTGACAGTCTAATTTCACAGGTATTCTAATTGTCAGTAATTTTGTTTTCATTCCTTATCTGAGTCCTAGAACAAATCCAGAATTCTTACAGTGGAATTCAGTGAGCCTTGCACATACCCCCTTAAAACCTACCCTAGAACATTAAGCTTTCCCTGAATATACCACATTTTCTGACTTGCCAGCCTCTGATCACTAACAAGGTAACACATTACAAAATGTGAAGTATGTACAAACAATACACTGATATGGTTAAAATGAAAGCCAGTTATTCCATTAACACGCTAATTGTCAATAAAAACACCAGGGGGGGGGGGGATAGGTTTTTCCAATAAAAATCAGCAAATTTACAAATGCCCCAACAATCCAAGATTGTCACTTTTCAGTAATTCCAAAAGTATTATGA